CAGCGCAGCTAAAAAAAATAGACTATATAGACTGCATAGATAATAATTCGTATTAATCACTCTCTTTTTAATTATTTTAGCACTAATTCCGTACTTAATTCGATCCTATAAAAATCTTCCTTACATGCTTATTCGTTCGCGAGACGCGACGTTTGACATGCTACTTTATTTACGCGCGGCACGGAGATTTCAATACGTGAAAGATGTGCACAACCAAAGTGAGATTAATATACGTAATCATTTAATTCGAGAACGAAGGGACAAGTAGAATAATTATTACAGATTACATTCGTTACAATGCGCATGCACAGTCGGTCGCGCGAAGTAGGGACAAGTATTAGGTCCCGCGAGCGCGTATACTTGCGGGCACGAGACACTGCCTTCCGGCCTTCGATCCGGCAGCAACACTTTACTGTACGCTCTCACCTCTCGCCGAGGTCGCACATGACGATACTTTCGCTGGGACAAGGCAATGTTTAACATTTTGGAATATAATATTTCTTAAATGAAACATCGCAACTCAATCTCATAGACGCTTTATCTCTTCGGCACGTTTCCTTGACGATGTATAATAAGCGTTTTATTGATCGTTCACTCTTCTCTCCGCGGAAACGGTAAGAATTTAATAATGCTTCTGAATTTTATACATTGAACTATTACATTTGGCTTCTAACAAGTCGAAATAATACTTGATAGATCTTCTTAATATTATAATACATCGAAACGTGCTCTTTGAACGACGAATACTTTTCGCGTAGTTTCTAGCTCTTCGTATATCAGTCACCGCGATTATTTAAAGACAGAAATGAAAAGTTTTGCGAAATCGAGTTTGAAATATCACAGAGTTTTGACAGTCTAATTATTTTACTGGCATGATTATTAATAATTCGCGTAAATAGATCTCGCCATCATGCTGAATCTTGCCGCATGCAGATGTTACGAAAACGCATTCGACCTTCGCGGGAATTTTGATCGATCGTACGCCTGAGACGTATCTTAACGACAAAAGAGAAGGACTTATTTCGTCACATAAATATTCTTTAAATAAATTCGCAAATTATCAAATAAGTGGAAAATGGGTTTATCATTGTGGATCGATATCGTGGATTCTCGTTAGGCGTAATGCGAGTGTCAAGTAGCATCACATACCATGGACGTAAAAAATTCTTTAATTGAATTCGCGAATGACATTTCCGATAAATGCTCAATATAACTGCTCGATTGATCAAATTGTGAAACTTGTTCAAATTACGATCTCGCGAATATTGTTGCGACTTGCGAGTGTATCGTGAGTAAAAAAAAGTGACATGCAATCGACGCGGAATGATGCAGAGATGCTCCTGAATCAATCTCGGATACTGTGATATTGGATAAGTGCAGCGGAATTAGATGTTTGACTGGCGAACGACATCGGAGAACGCCGCAATACCGTGAGTACTGAATTTTAACATCAATTTCACAATTAATCTATTCTGATTTAGATGCGCTTTTTTAATGCTTTTTCGTGATATATGTTATTCCTATATTATCCCATGTGAGCAACGTAATAAAATTTACGTGTTAATTACTTGAACGTAAAATAAATTGTTGAAATGGCTTTTATCGCGGTCTCTTTTGTGCCATAATGATCGAGATACAAAAGAACATTTTGCGAAATTTATATAAAAACTCGAATTTATGTATTCACAATGTAGACCTTATGAATTCTAAATCAAAATTGTATATTGTAT